GGTCATTGAACTTTTTTAAATACAAAAGGAAAAAAAACCAAAAAAATCAACAAAAAAAATTGAAGAAACGGGCCCCACCAACAAAAAAAGGACAAAAAAAATAATAAAAACAATAAGGAAGGTGAAAATGGAGGAAGGTGAAAAGTAAACCAAAAATTATTTTTTATTTTTTCAATCGTACATTTTTAATCAAAATTTATTGAAAATTTTATTTTTAAAAATAAAGAAAAAAAATACAGATTGCTTTTGCTAAAAATAAAATTTTCAATAAATTTTGATTAAAAATGTACGATTGAAAAAATAAAAAATAATTTTTGGTTTACTTTTCACCTTCCTCCATTTTCACATTCCTTATTTTATTTTTATTATTATTATTTTTGGTCCTTTTTTTTGTTGGTGGGGCTCGTTTCTTCAATTTTTTTTGTTGGTTTTTTTGGTTTTTTTTTTTTTTTGTATTTAAAAAAGTTCAATGACCTTTTTGGACCTTTGGCAAAGTTTAGTAACCATTTAGGCTATTAACTCCTATATTTATTACTAATTTGTAATTTTTTGAAATTTTGGGGTATTAGTTGCAATTAATTCTTTTGTTTTCTATTCAATTCTTTTTCTTTTATTTGAATAGAGGGCAAAATCGTCAAAAAACAGTGAAAAGGACCTTCAGCGCAAGAAAGGTGGTAAATAAGGGCAAAAATGTCAAAAAATGAAAGGTAGGGACGTTTTCCACAATAACCTCGAAAGGTAAGGATGTTTTGCGCCAATTACCCTTTAACGAAACATTTTAACGAGAAGTTGACAGAATGGCGTTTTGGAAAAAAATGTAAATGTGAGGATGTAATCCGCCAAAAAACGAAATGTGAGGACGTTTTTCACAAAAACAGCGAAATAAAAGGACGTTTTGTGCTAATTACCCAAAAAAAATTACCCCGCCCCCCATGTATTATGAGAAACTAGGCCTGTACAGCTAGTAAGGTTCTTTTGGTATTGAGGTTTGCGGAAGATACAAGTAAACAATACTGGGTAGAAAAATGTCAAACGAACATCATGATTGACACGATTGTTGACTGCACCCTCACATGTCAAGATGGGTTCCAAGTGATTAAAAAAATATCGACCTCCATGTATGAGTCTGTGCAATCATCCCGCGGTCATTCGTGCGGGTCATATAGCTCAGTCCATACAAGATATTTAAACAAACAAACTAGTAGTTTGACAATCACCACATTAAAATATTTTGGGAAAATAGTTCNTTGATGAAAAGTGGTTTTATATGTCCAAGACATCACAAAAGTATTATCTCCATCCTGATGAAATGGAGCCCTTTCACACATGTAAAAGTAAAGGGTTTATTACAAAGATAATGTTTTTGGTTACCATTGCTCAGCTACGAGTTGATAGTACTACAAATGAAGAATTCAATGGTAAAATAGGAATATGGTCATTCGTGTCTAAGGAACCAGCAAAGCGGAATAGTAAGAACCGTGTAGCTGGGACTTTGGAGTCGAAGCCTATAGTGTCGGTAACTAAAGACGCGATCCAATCATGTGTGATTGAAAATTTGCTGCCTGTAATCAAACAGAAATGGCCATGTTCAAGTTCTAGGACCATCTTCATTCAACAAGACAATGTAAAGCCACATTTGGATGTTAACAATATCAATTTCGTAGAAGCAGTGAGAAAGGATGGATTCGATATTTGTTTATGTTGTCAACCTCTGAACAGCCCCCGATATGAATGTCTTAGACCTTGGTTTTTTTAGAGCCGTTGATTCACTTCAACATCAAGAGGCTCCAACTACAATTGAGGACTTCATTTTAGCAGTTGAGAATGCTTTCCAAACATTTCCTACCAAAGAGTTGAATAATGTGTTTTTTACATTGCAATCATGCTTGGTTGAGGTGATGAAAAATTTGGGGGTAACAATTACAGGATTGCACATATAAACAAACAAAAATTGATGAGAAATGGGCAACTGCCGAATTGCATGCAGTTTGACTCTGACATTTTACGAATGGCTAAGGCGGCTCTTAATTCAGTCGAGTAACTTTAATCGGGGAATTTTGTAGATTTGGCATACGAGCTCTAATTTGGGCCTATAATACCTTTTTGAATAGGGATCAATGAGACGAATCAAACCAGCTGTTGTGCTATTGCCTACGATGAATTTTAGCCATCTAAGGTCGTTAAGGACTCGAAAACAACACTTTTATGTTATGTGTATCTTTTTTTTTTGCTTTAGTTGCACCGTTTTAGTTCTTTGCCCATATCCTAGCATTTCTAAGGTATTGTACATGTTCAGAACTCATTTTGAGGCTTGGCATTTGACGTTCGAACGATATCATTTGGTTGTGTTAGTTGTTTCCCATTGATCAGCCTACATTATTTTTCTTCCTGTACACCATGTTGCCCACACCATCCATGCGTAAAAAAGGTAGATATAAACTGAACTTACTAAACACCAGAAGTATGTATTGAAAAAAAAAAGATGCCTATCTGGTGTTTAACACATCCCTAAGTCAGCATTGAAATGTTGTAAACATTGGTTATGCACAAGCCTCGTAGAATTTGGATATACTATTTCTTAATATTAGCATCGACTTTATCAGCAAGAGCATCCATCTGGTCCTCGTAGATTTTTGGTAGATATATTTTGATCATCCGAGAAACAACACGTTGAAACTCCTGAGAAGCGAAAACGTAACCATCTTCAGTCGGCGGAGCATTCAAATCAAGCAATGGCCTCACCGCTTTCTTCGAGTTCAGATCACTTCGTAAAATTGATGCACAGGTATCTTCGATGGAATGTGGATGATTTTTAGAGTTCATACTCGTGATCTAGACAAATACTCGTATGCAGAAATTTGGTGGCAGTGTGAATGATTGTGCTTTTGTGGAAATGTTTATCGATTGCTAGTTTGAAGACAAATGGTTTTTATCAATGGCAGAAGACAGAAGACAAATAATCAGAGGCATATACTCGTGAAGACACAAAGAAGCTAAAGAATCACAAATGGAAGAAGACGTGAAATTTTCAAGAAATGGGAAATACGCGCATTTGGATAATTTCAATGAGTTGGTATAATAAGTGTGGAAAATTAAATAAGGGCAACTTAGTAAAGTAACAAATCAAAATATTCTAAATGAAAATATCAGCCTATATATTTGGGACAAACGAAAAAGGAAATTCAACCTATATAATTGAGACGGATGAAATATTAATTTTAACTTGAATTTTAATTAAAAAAATTAGTTGAATCAAACGGGGCTTAATAAGTAATAAATGCTTCCTCTTTCAAAGTAACATGTGACCCTTCATTTTCTTTGGAACTTCAAGAAAAATATCAGGGGTGTTTGATAGACATTTTTATGTAAAAATACATTTTAGAATAGTAAATTGATATGAAATGTGTGGTTGAAAAATAAGGAAAAGTTTTCGATTTACGTATAATATTATTTTAACAAAGAATGTGTGGTTAAAAAGAAGAGAGAGAAATACATTTTGAAAAAAAAAATAGCTACCAAACAGGGCGATCATATAGTTTTATATTTATCTTACCTTTAACAAATAAAAAAAGGTTGAACTCTAACTTTAAGGACTCCCATCGTCCCGTCCCTGGAGTATCGCGAGGGAGGTAAATCGCAGGATGTGTCTCAACAAGTTAGGGAACAAGAGATTGTCCGTATATTGGTGCCCACAAAAAGTCCAATTCCATATTTCAGAAATGAAATCCTCACACTGCGACTGCTAATAAGGTTGAGACTACTTTACTTATATCATTTACACCATTGGGTTATTCCCCAAGGGGTTATGTTTAACAAATAATTTAGTTATTGGGGGAGGGGGGTTGAAATATATTTTAAAAGGTTAACGGATGTATGTACATCCACATTTGATTTTTTTTTTTTAATGTTAACTACAGTTTGAAAATGAGTGTCAGAGGAATAAATAGTTTATTGATAGTTAATCACTATATTGGAATTAAGAATCCATAATAAGTCCATGTGATTAAAAATGCCATGCTTCTAGAGTTTATTATTATTATTATTGTTTTTAAAGAAGAGATTGTTTATTGATCGTAAATGATTTGGACATATGATATTCAAGTGGTAAAGGTACTTCAAACTAATATTGTATTGGTTTTGTCATTTGTCCAGGAGGGAGCGCATATTGTATTGAATTAATCTATTTGTACGAGACAGCCACCCTACCCCCTTGTCAATCAAATTGTACAAAAAATTATACTCCTAGCATGATTGTATTGTATTTAGCCTTTCTGGATTAGTATAAATGGTTACTCTTTAAATGAAGGATACATTCCACAAGTGTGCCCTAATCTTTTATGATTGTGGTACATATATCCCTAACTTACTATTTGTTGCGTTCATATATCTAACTTTTTAAAACTCTGCCACTTATTCTCTGGTAAACAAAAATAATTTGTTTGAACATTTAATAACCTCATGATGTTGGACCAAAAAAGGTGAAATGTTCAAAAATATTTCTTTTATTCCAATTAAATTTAACTTGCCACTTCAGCTTCCGTTTAGAAAATTTAGCTTATGTTTGATACGAATTAAAATTCAAATTTTATCAAAATGAAAGTCAACAATTAAATTTAATTACATGAGTCTCACAACTTTTTAATCACAATTTCATTAACTATCATTAAAATTTACATTAAAAAAATAATAATTTTAACTTCTATCAAACAATGACCTTATAAGATAAAACTCCAGAACTCATGGAATCTATCCATTTACTTAAATTCATTGATCGTATTTGTAAGTGTCACATGGTCATTTACCATTGGTTAAGTGTTTTTCTTTTTGTTAATAGAGGACATAGATCCCCCAATTTTGAAAGATTGGAGCAAGGATGCAACAAACGGTAAGCAAGGGACATGAATGCCACACTCTGGAAAGAATAAGGACCCATGGTGGAATTTACCCGTTAATGTAACGGTGCTTTTCCTAGTGCCTAAACCTAGACAACTAGCCAAGCATGCTCTTAAACCTAGCCGACTGGCTTTATCTTTCTCCTATATATTATATTGTCATGAAGCCCTAATCCTTAAGAGCGCAGTTCAATAATGACTGATAAAATGGAGCTGCCCACGTCTTGAGCAGTCTCACTCTAGATCCATCCCTTACCCCAACAGAAGTTATCCGCTTCAAACCACAACCAATTCTCCTTCCAATGCAAAAGGAAACCCACTATAGTTCAGGTAAATTTTGTTTCTTTTTTCTTTTACATGGCAATTAGATTATACCATTACCTAAACAGCAGGATTAAGATAAAGGGTTACTGATTTCTAGGTAGTTTTTATCAAATTCCTATTATTTATACTTTTATGTTGGTTTCGAAGTGCTTCATTCCTTCGTCCTTTTTCCTCTGTTTAAGTTCTTTGCTTTATTTATTAGTATTTAGTAAATCATTACGTATTTATTAAGTGTTTGATGTAGATTTTTAGAATTATTTTTGTGAAAATTTATATTTTTGGTGAATGTGCGGTTAATTTAGCAAGGAAAAAGTTTTGTGCTATTTTATTGGGAGAACGTGGGAATTGTAAATGAGGTTGAAGGAAAAATGAGTTTTAAAATATCTGTACTAAACAGGAGCTTAATAACTTTGGTTATTGAGTTCTTTATTACTGTTATAAAAGTGCTGGCTTGAGTGTCCGCAGTACACCTTGCAGGCACACGATTGTATTCTTGGAATTGTTTTTCTAGACTGTTGGCACTAAGCAGATTTTGACCGCAACTGTTGGTATGTGAACATCTTCCATATGTGAGGTAATAAAGATGGTATGTATAAGGGGGTGTTTGAGCCACATTATTTTGATAATAATGCATTCTTCAATAGTGTATTGATCAGAAATGTGTGATTAAAAAATAAGGAAAAGTTTTTGATTTGCGTGTAATGTTATTTTGTTGAAGAATGTGTGGTTGAAATGATGTCAAATCAATGTTTAAGAATGCATTTTTTTGAAATAATGTGACTCAAACATGCTCTAAATGTTGAACTTGAACATCTCTTGTAAAAATAGGCGAACACGGGCACGGTCACCAGTGTGGTACCTAACCTTTCCACAAGTGTTGAAATGGATAGACATAAAGTAAATTGCGTGAAGAGAGAGGGTTGTTCCTCTCGTGAAGCATCATCTCCTTTAGTGCGGCACATGTTAATATGCCCCCATTTGGTTCAACTTAAAAGGCCGATTTAAATTTGAGTCAGAGTCAGCAATCAATTTTAATTGTATAATTTATTGGATTCACAACTTTTCAATCACTACATTCCATCAACTTTTATCAAAATTTACAAAGAATCTGAATTTTATTTAAACCAAGCAAGGCTAAATTTGACGGAGGAGCTTCAGCCTATGCCACTCTCTTCATTGATGACATTTCCTTGGGACATGCTCCCCCTCTTCATCACTTGGCTCGGTGGTTAAACTGGTTTACAAATAATGTGGCTTAGTTCTCGACTTGGTTATGGGAATTACCAGCTGTCCACTTTAGCTTTGTCCGGGGAGAAAGATCAACTGCTTGAGTCTCAGGTTCTGAGAGTATGGTGTCTGGGAAGGTTCTCCTATCTGGTTTGGGATGTCCAGTCTCGTTTTATGTTGTGTCTGGTTAGGTGAGACACGGGTCGACAGATGGTCCATTGGCTGTTTGTTGTGCTGCCCTGGAGTAGCTCTTCAGTCTTTTTTTGGTGGCTAAGTCAGTGCATAGGTTGCCAAGGTGGAGCTTGGTTGGTCAACTTCCATGTCTAATCTGTCTTGTTTCTCATCTTACTTGTCCTCTGCAAAGTGTGCACAATTGACATTAGAGGTTTCTAATTGGTATGTTCACTTCTGCATTTATAGAAGTACTTGAGTGTTAGGATGCAATGTTATTTTGTTTGGCATCTATTAGTTAACATGAGAATTTAGTACATTATATCAGTGAGGTAGTGCAGTTAACAATTGGTTGCGGTGATGAGATACAGAATTTGTTGAAAGCACATTGTGCTTGATGTAATATCGACTTTTGATGTCGATCCTGAGCGGTTACCTGAGCAACCTGTAGTTTCTAATATCATTGGTGTTCCAATATTCTGTCATAGAACCAGGTAAAAAATTTGGTCATTTTACTACGATCTAATATCTAATAATCTATATAAACACTCACAATGTCTTCTTATGTCTGGGTAATTTGATAATTTCCAGCATCATAATATCCTTGACTATTTTCAAGAGTTCAACAACATGCGTCTTTATGTCAATTTCAAGTTCTCTGTCTCTGCTTGCTAATTTTCCAACTTATTTCTATTTCTTTGAACATTCCTGTCTTTCACTTCTTTCTCATATATACGTTCTAGTTTATATTCTAAATAAGTGAGTTGAACTTGGCTGCCATGATGAGTATTTCGGTACATTGAACGCATTAATAATGCTTGATGAAACATCGACTCGATCCTGAGCGGTTACCTGAGCAGCCTTATGGTATGATATGACCTTCGTTCATCCTGTTCCTGTACTCTATTCATTGCGTCCTCGCAATATTTTTATTGCTACGGCATATTTATTAATGCCAAAGATTTTCACCTTGCTATGTTTCCTCACTTCGTTGAAATTGCTCTATAAGTTTATGGGAACGGACATGTTTGCACGAGCTTTATTCCCTTTTCAAGTTCTCTTCATACTTTCGAAAGTGTGGCTCAATTCTATTTTCAATTCGTTTATAGGCGTTATTAGTTACTTATAAATGTTATTAATTTTTCTACGGGATGGATTGATAATTTGATTGGTGGAAACAAATTGTGGATATTTGAGAATTAGGGTAAAGTTTGATTGTCAATATTTTCCATGGAAAATTTCATTTTTTAATCAAATTTCTATTTTTGTGCTATTTGATTGAATTTTAATTTTTTTTTATGGAAAATATTTTCCTATTTTTGGTGATGTGATTATATTTTTCTTGAAAATAAGGAACATATTTTCTTTAGAAGAAGTAAATTTTTATTTTTTAGGTAATTCATTCTCTTTCTCTCTCGTCTAACTACCAATATAAAATGACAAATTTATATTCTCAAACAGGCCTTAGTGTGTGTAGTTACCCAATTTGACAAAATTTAAGTACTTACATAATTGATATTAAAGTGAAAATATAGATATCGCTTATGGGGTTTAGCCATGGTTGCTTTCTTTTTTGCTTTATCCCGTGTCTGAGTGAGCATGAATGTCTTTCTGCTAACTTACTATGATTTCCGGGAAGAAAGTAATTTCATTCCTTTTGCATTCTTGCTAGTGACGTTTATGTATTACAATTTTATTTTATAGTAAGCGTATTTGCTATTAAAGAATTTTAAACGACCGTATTTAAAAAAGAAAAAGAAAAAAAAACCGTCCATAGTTGAGGAGGGAGATGGGCATCTTGTAAGAGTATTTCAATAGACTATTCTTAGGGAGTATATTTTATCATGTGGAGAGTACATAAAAATTGAAACACTCTGAATGCATTTAATTAGAGAGAATGAGTTTGGCTTTTTAATCTTTAAATTGAAATGTTAATTTAAATAGTCTTTCAGAACATGATTTTAAAGATTGACTTTTTAAAATAGAGAGTGTCTCATGTTTAAAGAGTTTTTTTGGAGATACTGTAAGTTCTTAACCAATGTGTATGTTTGGGAAGTAGGCATATTTTATTGGTTTTATCCTTTATGGAAAATGCCATTTTTTATCAAAGTTTTTATGGAAAATGTCATATTTTTCAAAAGTTGATCACTTAACCATATTTTCCTCAAAAATAAGGAAAATATATTTTTTGGGAATGGATAAGTTTTTATTTTTTAGGCAATTCACGGTCTTTCTCTCTCATCCACCCTCTTCTTTCTTATTCACCGATCAATAAAAGATAGACGAGTAAATTAAAGCAATCAAACACAATTAATTAATAATTTTAATTGCCTAAAACTTATGTGCTTTTCATGTAAACTCATTGCTTGGAATCAAATTATCTTAAATATAATTTAATTTGTTTTTCCGGCTAAATATATTTTTTTATTAATATATTTCAACTTACAGCGACTATCTATTTATTATTTATCATCCCGTAGAACTTCCAGCTTATAATCATTTTTCACACATGCTTTTTAAGTGTTAATAATTACAATACGAATAAGTTATAACGTTGCTAAATATTTTACTTATTGGATCAAATTATATAAGTAAATTTATAATGTATAAAAAGGTAAAAAGAAATTTTGGATCATGCTAAATCCCAGGCTTGTAGTGAAGTTTGGATTAGTAAGAAATTTATAATCTGTGATATTTCCAATTTACTTTAAGAAATCTACTGAAATTTTAGTATCTTTATGCATGAAAAGTAGTATGTAAGTCATATCTAGATGAGTTCTAGTCATATAAATATTAACATATGATATCAGAATAGCATCGGTAAGTAAGGATTTTGCCACTTTGCGAGAAAAAATTTAACATATGCAGTGACATAATTCGAGATGGTAGTAAATGATTTGATAGTAAAATTGACTGTTTAAAACAGTCCAATGATTAAATTTTATGAAGGATTATGTGAAGATATCTGGCACGGTAGCATATCTTGGTCAGTAATTGATGCGTTTGCCATTGGCAGTATAGACTCTCTCAATTTCAAGTACTCTGTACAAAAATTTGCACATTATATTCGGAAGGTGAAAGACTAATGTGAGAATGGTTGGTTGGAAATCAATTGCACCATAACATTCTCAATGGAAATAAACAAGAGCCACCAGGAGGGTTTCATACGGAATATCGAATATTTGAATCTCAACAACAGCTAGAAGTCAACATTTATGTTGGCAGGAACTGTCTTGTGGAGGGAAGGTTGTGGTGCGCTTTGTCATCTCTTTGGGAGTCTTGTCCGTACGTTTTAAAGGGAGGTCTACAAGAAAGACTACCGCATCCTGAATTCCAGCCCAAGTGTATATAAGCAGTGATTGCATTCGGATTTACTTTGGTGGCGAATTAGGGAGGAAGACCGCCACTTTTCAGGATTAGTCATGGAAACTTGGACATTAAAAAAAAAAAGAGCCACCAGAAATTATGACAAAGAAAATAAAATCCAACGCTTAAATATCCGGTGTCCAAATAGATTGGACCGTTTGGTCCACTGGATAGAAAATTATACTTTTTTAAGTTGGGAAAAATACATAACCATCATATATTTAAGTTTTAAATATATTTTCATACAATAAAATATTTTATATGTAAATTCAAAAAAAAATAAAAAAAATCTTACCATTTAACAAGGTACTTTTCAAAAGGACCTAATCAAAAGACCACTTTCTAATGTTGACCAAAATTTTTTTGCCATTTACCAAAAGAGCCCTTTGAAGAGTAAATATCATTTTTACGCTTATTATGTTTTGTAATTACAAAAATTATCATTTGTTCAAAGACTATACCATCTTTCAAAAAATTAATAAATCCAAACACTCCCATTTAAATTTCAAAATGAAATCACTATTTATCAGATTCTCCAACACGGTTAAAAAGAAATTTCATTTTCCATTTGCTTGAACATTGAAATCTCACAAAATTATTAAAGGCTCAACAAAAAAATATTACTCACAGCCGGCATTTGAAATTGGTAAGTATAAATTTAATTTCATTTTAGTTAAATTAGTACATTGTTTGAATCTTGAAATCTTATTTCAGCGTATAATTTTAGAAAAATAAATTATTACAGTCTTAAATGGGTGTATAATTTTTTTAGCAAAAACGAGGAAAAAATTCATCTGTTCAGTAAAAATCAGCAAAATGGAGAAGTCAGACAGACAGCTGGCCAGACAATCCGGGCCGATTTTTTTTATATGTGTGTGTCTTACCTAGCATATTTTTTTCGTCCATTTATTCTCGTAATTACAATTTTTTTAATAAATGATGTTTCCTAATGCAAATATGGGATCAGCAACTGTCCCAATTTGTTACTTTGGCGAATTTGAAAAGAATTAAAATGATTAATGGGTGTGAAAATGGACAAGTGAAAGACATGGTTGTACTGCAATTGTGATAACATCAAGTACATCATATGCAGAAATGTACAATGAGATATAGAACTTGCTGAAAGTCGATCCCTCTGAGTATGACATGAAATTGGATTTCTAATGGGCGAGCGTACATCCATTTCAATTCCACCTATAATAGTTACTTCTGAAATTGAAATGAAGGTTTTGATTCAAATGAACCAGAAACGTGTGATTCCTATTTGCGGAACTTTGATGAAGAAGAATGTCCTCGAAAATGAATACGATGATTTCGATGGAGGGGATCACAAATGCCAGGCATATCTTTTCCATGTTTGAGTAATTTTACTCTAAGCCTGCCATGGTACACCTTTTTTGGTATTGAGCTACTTAAGCCTGCCTTAAGGTATGAGCCTGACTCCATTCCATAGTCGGCTCGGGATGTGAATGAGTTTTGGGACATAGCGGAGATAGTGCGTGATGATGTTGTGGCTATTCTAAAGACAGTTTTTCCTCACCATGATCTCACTGTTACACACAGAATTTGTTCGGTAGTTCAAGACCACGAAATAGATAATGACTTTACAAATGAGAATTTGATTGCTTTATCCCGTCTGGGACATGATCGAGTGGGAGCTCACATGCTGGACCGAGTGCACGGTCTTCTAATTGTTTGTGTGTAGTCTTCGATGATGAAGATTTGTATATCGAGCAACTATTTAACATGAAGAAAGATTTACAGGAAGCTATTCACGGGATTGCTTTGAAACACAATTTTGAGTTTAAAGTGAAGAAATCAAACAAGCCGACTTACACAATTGTCTGCGTTGGCGACAGTTGCTTTTGGCGTTTGCGAGCAACGAAAATGGACACGAATGAATTTTTTGTAGCTCGTAAGTATGCACGGGAACATACTTACGAACATACTTGCGAAGTTGGTATTCGTCGAAATGACCACAAGCAAGCCCGATCATGGTTCATTGGTCGCGAAGTAATGTACAAATTTTAGGACCCACGAACAATCTACAGACATCTGGACATCATCAATGATGTTCGTCGAGAGTACGGGGTAATCATGAGCTATCAGAAGGTTTGAAAGGCCAAAGAATGCGCGTTGGAGGATTTGATGGGTTCGACCGAGGAGAGTTATGTTAAATTGACCAGATATTTCTTTGTTTAGATGCTTATTTAATATTTATTTCAAATGTTAATTATTAATTTCAATTGTTTATTAATTATTTAATCAATTGTTTACTTAATATCTAACTA